GTGCCGCCTGCCGGTGCCCCTGGCCCGGGGCAGCTCTGCCCACGGCGCCCCACGCCAGCCCGGGGTGCCGCGGCTGCCCTGGGAGGCCAAGGCCCGCTTCAGGCATCTGCTCGGTAAGGGCGTGTGTAGGAATTCTCTGCGCTTTTATCAGCGTGTCCCGTGCCCAGCCCTCGCCGGTGGAGAGCACAGCGGGACCGTTCCGGTGTCGCTTACACCCGGGCACTGCCAGCACCCAGACCCACCTGGCACAAAACTGCGGGACAGAAGCAGCCTCAAAGTGCAGTTCCCCTGGGTGGGCTCACTGCCTATAGTCCTTTTCCTCCCTTGGATTCTCCTACCTCAATTCCCATCGCCTTTGTGTTCAGCAGCAGCAAACAGGGACACGGAGTTCTGACCCAGTCACAGCTGGCCGCAGTCTGTCCTGTGAAACAGCCGAGTGCACTTCTCTGGCAGAAGCAGCACGTAACCTTGTACTCTAACACCACACGGTTCAAAGGTGAAGGCGGCATCTCTCCATGTTGTACACAAACATCCTCCCTCAGGTCTGCAACAGGTACAGACCTAGTGAAAGCCAGGCTGCAGATGGTGATACAAGGAGAAGATAATAAGTCTAATGTATTATTTTTCTGAATGCTTGTATTTTATGCGACCTGTAAAAAGACTGAAAGAAAAATACATTCAGTCTCCTGTGCTACTGAAGTACGGACTACGGGAGACCAGAGAACCTGGTCAGAGACCAGAGACCTCATCACACTCTATTTTCATTTTTCATTATATGTACTTGCTTTTCCCACCCAAGCAAAAGCACGGGAACCACCATCAAAATGCTGCATGTTACTGTTGTGTTCCTGACGTAAACTGACCCCTTGCACCAGTGGCACACACAGCCAGTGCCTCCAGAGTGCCCTAAGGGAGCCAAGGGCCTCCAGGCTGAACCACCCATCCTCCATGACTGAAGCAGCTACATTCTCCCACCGAAGTGCTGTCACCTCTTATTTTCTGACAATATGGTAATGGTATGGCTTGCAACTTTCATGCATTTTGCTTTCATCTGTGATCTACCATAAATCCATGTGGGAAAAGGCTCAAAACTCAAGCTGAATAAAATGGAACAAAAATAACAGAGACATGAAACATTCAGATTTCTCACTCAGAATTTATCCTGAAGGATAAATAGGAACAAGTGAAAGATAAATAGGAATTTATGCTTTTTTTTTTTAATTTTCAAGATAAAACTTTGTCTACTTTGACTAATAATTGCACAGCTACACAATTAACAGTGGGTCTCTAAGTTGCACTGTTGATAGGAAGCATTAATCTTCCCTCAAGAACAGGACTTTGCCTTGCCTTCAATAACAGAAAGGCAAGTAAGGGGTTTTGTAGAGCTTGAGAAACATTTAGAAGTATTTCTTGTTTTCTGTATTAACTAGTCCTAATGATCCTTCAAATTTTGTTGGTTATTTTATTTTGTGCCAAAGGCAGGGTTTTGGTCTATATAAAACTTTTTTTTTTTTCGTCAAAGTATCAAGCCTAATTTTTTCCTCTTGTTAACTTATCTTACACAGACATAACATCCACAGTTCCTCTGGTGTTACTGTTAAATTCACTCTTTTAAAAGCATGCAAAGAATGAAGTCTGTCACTTCAGATGAAGAAATAACAGCCTTTCCGTTGGCAGTAAATTGATTCCTACTTGAGAAAAAACTGCCGTTCCACCGTACGAAGGAGAAAAGTCTAGGGGAAAAGAGAAGAAAACTGGGAAGATCACCTGAGAATTACAGTTCTATGAATGTCAGAACCTTTCAGGCAGACCCACTGTGGAAGAAAGGAGCCAGGGAAGGCATGGCATGCATACCTCCAGGCAGAGTACATGGAAGGAAGGGCAGGACAGTGCTGTGATGTGGCTCCTCTGGCTTCCCCGGGGAGGTGGCAGGAGGTGAGCGGCCCAGAGCAGTATGATGCAGTCATCCGCTATGCTGCCCTAGGCTGGAAAAGGAGGAGATGGCAAAGTAAAAGAATTATGAACCAAGAATTCACTGAGGTAATGCCACAATGTTTTTAACATCTCTTGTATCTATATAGCCAGAACCCAGATTTCAGACAACTGCTCCCTCTTCTGTGCTATTGCCAGACGTGCTTTGACAATGGACACATGCCTCCTACAGTCTGATTAAGATCTCACCAAAAGTTACAAAAATGCTCTAATAACCACTCCTGCAAAGACTATCCAGGTGCAGCTGGACTCCCAGCATGCACACACAGAGCAGGGCTGCCTTTTCAGAGTTAAGCAGGAAGGCTTATGGCCTCAGTTGATCTTATTAACCAAAGGTCTGAACAAGGTATTTCTGGACATAGACTTTTATTCTAGATATTTAGCACAGTGCCAATGAACAATGCAATAAGCCTTCATTTGCTTCCCTATAATGTCACAAAGAAGATATTTTTACTTACACGCAAACAGAAGAAGGTTTACATCCAGATTTCAAGCACGCGGGGGGACCTGAGCCTACCTCAGTACTCAGGTAGGCTATCTGTATCCTACCTGTTGACTGTGGGGTTTGAGAAAGCCTCATGTAACTGTCAAGAATTAAAGTGGACTTCATATAAATTTTGTAAAAACTAAAATACAATTCCATTGTATGAACTCCGTTGAAAGCTGTTTTTTTAAATATTTTTTTTTTAAATCAGATTTTATTTTGCATCACAAAGCAGTTCACATTATTGCTGAAAGATGCTGGCAGCTTACAAGAGACTAAAAAGATACAACAAACAAAAGCAAAACTAGACTACTTGTAAAACCATACCAAGAGAAACACAAAAGGTCAAAATCATGCAGTCAAGCAAAAAGTACGTACCCTAACAATCAAATCAAATACAAGTAATTTAAGATAGTGTTCCAAATATATGAAAGGAATTTTTTAAAGAGATGTCAGTATATCAGCATATAACACTGCATTCAGTAGGGTTAAGCACAGCTGATACCACCTGTAGTTCTTCACCACCTTTCTGTTTTTCTGAACACACCCACTTGATATCCTTATACTAAATTAATACGCAGATAAAAACTTTATAGGTATTTTAAATCATCTCATTCTTGTTAAGCAAAACAGAACAGCAGCCAAGCGATCAGACACATCTGCTCCCAGCATAAACTGATACGGTTAGCTAACAGCAACTTCCCCCATCACTGAACATTAACAGACTTCCATAACAAAAAATTACAAAGGATATTTTCCCTCCATTGCTCTCCAAAGACCTCTTCAGAGGGGTTATCAAAGACAGAACAAACATACTCTATCAATAATGTAATCCAGCTGTGCCTTACACTTAATCTGAATTCATCTACAGTCCTTCCACCATAGAACTTTCTCAAAGTTTCACAGAAAGCTCATTCTCCAGATATACTTTTTGAAACTTTATAGTGAAGAGAAGAAACTGATGAAAGACATTTACCATATTCATTTGGGAATAAAGGTAGAGACTATTTTTTTTTCCCCTAGCTACAAAATAAATGTTTTGGGTTTTTTTTAAAAATCAGAAGTTCTAAACTAATGTCATCCAAAAAGTAGGGCTACTGGCATCAAATGCATGTATGGGAAACGAATCTCTAAAGGCTTTTGCCATTAATATCAAAAAAAACCAAAATGAGATCTCTTACATACTCTCTAGTTATCTTCCAGACTACTGAGCCAAAGAAGGATTAGACCTGTGTTACCTACTGTACTGCTATACTGTTCTAGTTTCTAAACACTGAGGCTGTGCACAGAACAGTCTGCAAAGCTAACTGGAGCCTGTCATCCCAATTTCTTGTGTAAGCAGCCAGCTGAGCATTAAACACCCCAGCATTTACAAGGTACCGTGCTCCGTTCGCAGCGTGTGGATTACACAGAACCTCTTTATTTACATGTGCAGATTAACTAGGATAGCTGTCAGTTCTTGCATGGTGCCAAAGGCCCTTGGCCTGTAACACCTGTCCTTACAAAAACTTCTCTCTGGTTACACAACACCCAGTTTACTAAAACAGAAACTGTATTAAAAAGATCCTTTTCCCAGGAAATGGATTGATTCCCATTCCTAATGACTAGACAGTGTTTTTCTGCTCCCCCACAGTGCAGTGCCACTGCCACGCTCCCCTCGGAGCCGGGGTAACGCTCCCACTGACCCAAGTGGAAGGATGACTGCCTGCCCCTTCAGTTGTTTTACACAGGCAATTATCTCGTCTCATTTCTGTAGTATTTTTTACACTCTCCAGCACTACATTCAAGGACATGCTGAGCATACGGTATATGGTGACTTATTTTCCCTCTCTTGTAAAATAAATTAACAGAGTGTGAGAAGCCTGCAAGTAACTTCTGTCTGCCCCAAGCGGACACACGTAAAGCCGAAGTCTCAGTTAAGGCAAATCAGCAGTAAATTCACCAGGGTAAGTATCAGCTGGTTTGGAATCTGTTCACCAACCATGAACTAACACACTCTCACCAAATTTTGCTTTCAACGACATTTGTGCTTTGGAAGTGTTTTACAATGTGGTCCATCAGAGCTGCTCAGTTGACAGTCACACCGTGGGGACATCTACAAAAAGGAGAAAACCAGAACAGGGTAAACTTTGCAAAGATCATTAACAGAGGCTGTAAACTTGAGGTGGACTCAGCTGTCACTTTATGTCAGTTCACCCCTCCCTACTTCCTCCCAACCCCGAGAAACGAAAGTATCTAGCAATGGCAGGAGGAGAAATTTAATTGTTTTTTTTTCATACATACCACTACCATTAACACTGTGCTTGATCCAGTCAACAAAAACACCAACATTTGTGTACACTCCTGGGTAGCTCTTCCTTCCACATCCCAAGCCCCAGCTAGTGATTCCATGAAGGGTGTAAAATCCCAAGTTATCTTCTGAAGGGCAAACTAATGGGCCACCAGAATCGCCCTGCACAAGGACAAAGGAATCTTTTTATGAGCCAACATCATTCCTTATCTGTTTAAAATGCCAGTTCAGCTACAAGAGGTCCCAGCTGGTCATGTGTTTGGGGACTTCTGTTTTTAAAAGGCAGAGAAAAAAAAATAACCTCTGCTGAGGGAAGCATGTCTCTTTGCAATACAAATAATTAAAATCCTACTGTCAAGGAGTCTTTCACTGTAAATCACCTACAGCCTGTTTGCAAGAAAACAGCTCTTGGCAAGGTTTTAACACTCCCCTTTTCAGAACCCATCTGGCCATACCCCAAGTGTCAGAAGGCAAAAGCGAGGTGTGCAACTTACTGTGCAGGAATCCTTGCCTTCTTCCAGAGGGAATCCAGCACAGATCATCCTCTGGGTCACTTTACTGGGAAGATTGATGTAATAGCTCTGACATGTGTCATGTACCAGAATGGGGACTTCCAGCTGATGCAGTTTTCTCCCCTTTTCTCTGTCTTGAAGTAAAAGACATCTCAGAAACCAGTAGAGGCATGAATTAGTGACTCCATAACGAAGCTTTTCTCTTCCCCTTTTCAAACACCCTCGATCTAAATTATGGGATTTCTTTCCTCCTACCTGTTTCCCTGCACGTCTAGCTGAGCTTACAGAAGTGAAACCTTTTTAAACGCATCCGTCCTCCAGAAACCAATGTACAATGAACGTTACAACACGGACTACAGGATTTACAGCATGCTCAACCTCTGAAACAGCAAAGACTGCCTACCTGCTTCACGTGCGGCCCATCCTGTGACGACGCACACCCTGGAGGGCTGCACTGCCTGCTCCTCGGCGGGGAGGCACACTGGGCCCACGTAGGGGTTGAATTCTAAGGGCTCGGCCAGTTGCAACAGGGCAATATCGGAGTCCATAGTGGTCTTGTTAAAGCTTGGATGTATAATATACTGCTTTACTGACCTTTTCTAGGAAAGCAAGGACATGGACACTTTCTGAATAACTTGGGAATTTGAGTCTTTAAGTAACTTTGGTTTTATAAATTTTCAGGCCATATACAAGATGCCTTAAGAGGAGGGCACATTTACAAGCAGCTGCTGAAGCTTCCAGCTTTCTTCTATTAACAAGTTAAGATTATGCCTCTTGGACATGGAAGCTTCATTCAGCAAGTGTAGGGAGAGGGTCTTGGAAAAACATTTGTTCAGTCTGAGCAAAGTGGAAAGTTGTGCTCCAATTATTTCTGACCTGGTAATAGTCACCAGGGAATTTAGAGGCAATGCACTCCTCACTCACACATCCTCCAGGATGCTCAGCTCTGGAGTTCATTACTGATGAAGGCACAGATCTGTGTTGATACAATTTCTCTGAGTCACACAAAAGGTGTGTAAATGCAGATTAAGGTGATCGTGCAGGCTGTTAGACTGCTGCATCATTAATGATTTGGGAGATGGATTTACATTAAAAACTATTTTGCAAAATTGATTTCCATTTCATTATTAAGCAATATTTATAGTACCTGTCTGTATTCTTGCTCAGCAAGATCATGAAGTCCTGTTACCACCATCCACAAGTCTCTGTATAGCTCCCTAATTAAAAAAAAAGAAATATTTTTGAAAAAGTACATTCTCAGACTGGCATAACAGCATTCTTGAAACCTGTGAACTTTAAAACCTCCCCTACCCGAAACAGAGAATAGGCCCCTACATTTTCCTGGGCCAACAACTCCTGAGGCCCATACTCCCCTACAAATCTATGGAAATCTTCCCACTGACTTCTAGGGAGCATGAAATATTCTCACGATGAGGCAGTAGGATCTCTCAAACACACAGCAAACAGAGAGAAAGGTCACTTTCTGATGCAGAACACAAGCCCTGAATGGTCCACATCATCCAGGGACAGTGCTGGTCACTACCTTCTTCTTGAAAAAACTGGTGGTCTCTAAAACATTAACACCTATCAAATAATATAAAGAAATGCAACAGAAAGATTTCATTTCACACCTTGGTTTCTTAACCAAATCCTCTCCCTGCCTGAAAACCTGTCATAACCCCCTGATGAAATAGCTGTGTAGAATCATTAAGCCATGTACACGAATTAATGATGTGGTAACAACATGCAATAGAAAATTCCTCCTTAATACGGCTCTTAAAGCAGTACAACAATGCTCCTGACAACATTTTTCAAACTAATATTTAGAAACTTAGAAGTCAAAGACCAAAATTTCAGATCCTCAGTTTTGTGGGGGTAGGAAAGAGAATCAAAGATGTGGAGAATACAGATGACTAACCACCCTTGGCACTTGGGGCTCTTGAAAGCTTCCCCTCATTTTGCAGTAATTGCAACTATATTAAAAAAAAAAGCCAGAATATTTAATCATCATCAATCCTGGGAGGATTTTTAAAAAATATTTTAAGGACCCAATGAATGTGAATCTTAAATTAATATACTTGTGATTAATTTGAATTTCAAAGCAGGTAGTGTTCATGAATAAACAAACTGCAGTTTAGAAAGTATTTTAAAAAGCCCAAAAGCCACACAGACTATCCGTTTGTCTCCTCTCCATAAAGACAGAAACATTTCCATGTAATCTGATTAACAGATTGATAGGTTCTTAACAAAGGAATTGCATCAGCCCTGAGCACAAAAGCCTCCTGTATGCCCTTCAAAATCTACACAAATTCAGTCATTTTAGAATTTTTGATAGGTTGATTCTACATAGATTAAAAAAATGCTCTGTAAACACCCCAAACACAAAGAAGTTACCTAAGAATAAGTGATGCATGGATGGATGGATGGATGCATGCATGGATGGATGCATGCATGGATGGATGCATGCATGGATGGATGCATGCATGGATGGATGGATGCATGGATGGATGGATGCATGGATGGATGGATGCATGCATGGATGCATGGATGGATGCATGGATGGATGCATGGATGGATGGATGCATGGATGGATGCATGGATGCATGGATGCATGGATGGATGGATGCATGGATGGATGGATGCATGGATGGATGGATGCATGGATGGATGGATGACAAGGGACTTAGTATCTTACCATCTCTACTGAAAACTGATCTGGATGAAAACCAAGCCTACAGAAGTAGGCTACTTGCACTTCCTTAAGTAGCCACTATGATCCTAGTGCATGTGTGTGGAGCAAAATAATCCAGTGCCAGTGTGAGTATGTGGTAACTGAAACTGTGCCACCCCCCCTGAGCAGTACCAGCACGCTGCAGAGACGAACCCTGCAATTACAGAAGTTCCCAGGGAAGGATTCATCCTGTGTACTTACTTGGAATTAAGGCAGTGAGCAGCTGTGACAACCCATTCTTTGGCAAGAACTGCTCCTCCACAGATATGCTCATCTGAAATCTGTACACTGACCTGCCAAGGCCATGAGTATGGTACAGCTTCTTCACCTCCAATTATCCTACTGAAGATGAACCTGGGCTGATTTGAAGCCACTCCACAAAGATCATCTGAAACAGAGAGCATTGAGGTCTCAAGGAGCCTTTAGAGCTTAAAATTTGGAGAAGCAAAGAACAATTCATTTAAGAGCTACCCCACAGCTTCTCAAGATTCCCCCCTCCCTTTTTTTGCCAAATCTTTCAACTTCCCTCATTACAAAGGATCCAAATGTTTAGAGATAGCATGAGGAGATGATCTTAGCAGAAACAGAGCTTCTCCAAGATGAAAGCAACTGCTTACCTTCAAAAGTTTTAGCCTCAAACCTACAAGGAACATGGACTCATCCCATTCTCCATAAAGTACTGGAGGGAAAAAGGGAAGTTCTAAAATTCTCGTTATTATTTTCAACTACCCTGTACTATTTGCAATTATTCTGACCAAAGCAAATAGGTGTAAAGTGACATACAAACTGAAGTAATGTCATTGCATTGCTGTAAATAACTGTAAATAAAATGGAGGAAGCAGGAAGAATTAGATTCTGCTATTTTCTAAAACCAAATCATGGAACATTACTATTTATCTTTTATTTCTTCAAAATACCTTAATGAGAAATTCTGGGACTACTGCATCCATTAAATATTTGGAGAAAACATTTAAATTATAGTCCAAAAGGTACTTCCTATTTGCATGAAGAAATTATAACTCTGGTTGGCTACCTGCTGGAACCTGTGTTTCTTCTTCAGTCATATCCATACCTTCAAATTCTTCTTCACTAGTTGAATCTAAAGTATCTAAATCTAGAAGATGAAAATAGCAAATGCGTTAAGCAGGTTGTCTTGAATGATAGTTTTATTACAAAATCATTTTATTTCTTTTATTATAATTTTTTGTAGAAGGAATAGGGTTCTACAGTAGGGATCTGTGCTATTACATCTTCACATGGTAGTAAAGTGCCATTTAAAATGCACCAAACCACTCCTATACAAAATAAAACTCAGGTTTTGGGTAGATTCATTGTTTCTCTTCACCCACTCAACGGGCCCTTTGTTTAATGCCTCAATAGGTTCACAATACAGTTTTTTCACCGAAACAATTTGTTAGATGACAATCGTGTAGAGCAAAATATTTCTGAATAGCCCAATTCAGCAAAGAGCCCCTTGTGCTGCCCCAGAGAGGCAGTTTCCCAAGTTACTTCTATTACCTGTTACATGAACAAAAGAGATTGTAGCTCTGAATCCCCCAAAGGTCTCTGTTTCGTCAGAATGAAAGACAACCAGCATCACAGCAGAGGAGCTTAGAACAGGGGCTGGTAGCACAAATCCACAGGACTTTGCTAAAGATGAGAAAAGCAAAGGTTCCTGCAGATTAACATGTACTTTTTCCATCCCTATCTCTTTCCACAATGGGTACTCAATATTCTGTGTATTCCAGCTCTCACACAGGAGGGTAAAAAATAACTTATGCTCAAGAAGGGAGTAGAGATAAGTGGACTGAGGCTGAAGGACTGTTCCTGACGGTCTGTCCCTGTTGAGTAATTACCTCTTAAGAACAAAGAGACTCTTGCATTATTTCACAAGAGCCTATTGCAGCACTCACCCTCACAGGTTGCCATTACATACAGAACACACTGGAAACCTGATTTCCCCTTGTTGGTGTTTCAGCACTGGCATCTGCTAGTGCTAATCTAGGCACCAGCAGCAAGCAAGTGCTGAAATCAATTGAGAGGCAGGTCTTCCTCCCATTCACTGTGAGCCAGGGGAATCTTCAGCAAGGTGGCAAGAACCACATGAATGCTCATCTGGAGTGAAGACCAACAGGACTCTGAAGAGGAAACCTCTTGGGGGCTTTCTGTATCTGATCATTACTGTAAAACAAATCCCTGTGTTATGCCATTTTCTTCATTTACATTCACTCAGAACTGCATTTCATAGAGAATTTAAATAGACAAAACTGTTGTGTTCAATGTGGTTTTGCCTCTAAGTGGTACAGAAGCAGCAATACCTGGAAGCATTTCTCAAGGTACTGAAACTAGTACTTATCACATCACCCAAGACTCCAGAGGTGAAGTTGACTCTAGACTGTAGAACAGAGCTAGTGAAAGTTATAAAATAAATAGGTCATCCCCGAATTATATAAAAAAATCAAAAGTCAAACCAATTTCCTCCTCTTTTCCCACATCTTCATACACAGTCACAGCATCATAAGAGCAATCTTCACTCTCTTCAACTTCAAAAGACTGGTATGTAAGCTTTAAGCAAAAAATGAAAAAATGAACCTTGTTAAAATCACACAGAAAAAAATCAAAGGGTCTTTAGTATTCTCAGCAACTCCTTTGGGGTTTGGTTTCTGTGACATTCAGGCTTCTCACAGGTGATACATAGTATATTACATTTGCTAAAAGGACCAGTCATGATAAAATTTAAACCTAAAAATCCTATTTTACTATAACTCAAAGGAGAAATCAAAATCTAACTGGCTTTTGGAATGGAAAGGGATTTCTCTTCACTGCATCGAGCAACATTATTCAAGCTTATGTTGCTTGATCTTGCTTGTCCTTCACTGTGTAAGTTCTTGTTAACTCAATGGTGCCAACTTCCATTCTATAGACACAAGAAGGGCTCCTATTATACCTTGATTACATGGTCCTCTGGTGCACAGATAACCCACTGACACTCTGCCATGTTGCTGTAGTGCTCTGGATAGTGCATGCTTTGTAACACTCCTTCTTCAAACAGGACAGCTAAGGACACACAGCCAGAATCTTGAAATCCAGGGAAAAAAAAAAAAACAAACCACGGAGACACTGTGATTTCCTATTAAATCATTCACACACATTAAAAAAAAAAAATCCAGAAACTATTGTGGTGCTTTCACACAGCTGAGAAAGAAAACAGGACAAGAGCAGCAAGCCAAATCCTTCTGTCTGAAAAAAATGCAAAGAAAATTTTTAATCTTTTCCAAGGCAGAAGAGCAATTCAACCCATGACTACAGCATTCCCGTTTGGCTACGGGCAGTGCACCGCAGGCACAGGTACCCGTGTGGGGTGACAGAAGAGCAGAACACAGGCACGTCAGGAGAACATTTGCCAGCTTGCTTTGAAGCAGAAAGTGGAGCCATAAAACACAACCAGAGGACATGGACTGTGGGGTGGCAAGGCCCCTCAGAGGGGATTCCTCCCTACACTCTGCAAAGTGCTTTTCCAACTAGCTGCAAAAGCAGCAGAAACAGGAACAACAGGTGTCTGTCTGTAACTTGATTGTCCAGACACAGCAGATGGCCCTTGGGCCTGCTCCCTAATGACGGTGAACTGCTCTGCACAGCAAAACTGAAAGCAATTCTCCATAACTCGTATCTCAGTATTAGCTGTTTTCCCTCAGGGCCACTCCAGGAAAGCATGCTTGGGACTAGCAAAGCAGCTTTCATCTGGAAATTCTGCTCATTTAACTAATCTTATTAATCGAGTTTTAAAACATTCTGAAAGTAGGGAAGTAAATGAGATCTTATATAAAGTGGATGGAGAAGAGGCGAAGTTAAAGGCAGGCTTCTCTCAACAGTATGTATCCTGTCTTTTTCTGGCATCCCAGTTTCTCCACGTCGTCACACGGCAGCCCAACCACACTTCCCTTGTTCATACCATCATCCACGTAGAAATATCACAGGAACTTCCTCTGATTCTTCATTTTCTCACAAACATTTTTTTCAGGTGACCACCCTAGAGTGCAGACAGACTTACCAGGAAGAATATCTGGTGTAAGAGCTTTGTAGGTCATGGAAAAACCAGTTCCATAATCCTTGTTGTCAGAAACAAATTTTAGCCTTATACTATTGAAGCCAATCAAAATAGGTAACGGAGGATCCCCTCCACAGAATTTCCCTGAAATATATTAGAGAATGACTGTTTAACGTCTTTAGTCACTTGAGAAAACTTTTATGTACCATTTTTAGTACTTAACTGTAAAAATTACAGGATGAAAAGGAAATTGCCTATTCATTCTTCTACATTCCCTATCAATCCATTAGCCCAAAGAGACTCACACTATTAAAAATGGAAAATCTTTGACACCAGAAAGTTGTATGCTGACACGCTTCCCTACCAGACATTTTCTATTGTTTTCTCCTCCCACACTTTTTGTCTTTTATTTTAGATCATATGCCACAATATATTCATCATGAGAACATAAGTAAAACATAATCAACCGCCATGTCCTCGTTGGGCGTACTTGCTGTTAGAATTGAAGGGTGCCCTGATAGATTATTTCAAAGAATAAGGGGACAGCAACTCACCAACAAGTCTGTCATCTTTTGAATAGACTGATAAAGAATCATAGTCACAAAATGTTTCTGGCTCTATGTCAAAGTGGGAAAAATGAAGCAATATATAATTTCCTTCTGGTACAAACAGAGTCCATACACACAACCTGGAATAATAAATTAGTTTCTGTTCACAAAACTTCAGAAAAAAAAAAACAAAACAAAACAAACACATCTACACCAGTACAGTGAATAGTTGATAAAGAAAGACTGTGTTGTGTCTACTTACTGGTGATTTTGATAGAATTGTTTGGAACTTCCAGGAAAATTTAATTCTCCTTCACCGTCAGGAAGTTTGCCATCCCGAACGCTACAAAATGCTGCATTGTAGAGTTAAAACAAAACAGGAGGACTTAGGTTTGACTGTTAACTTAGGTTTGAATTATCTGTTCCACCAAGCTCAAACATCTAGAGAATATTATGAGAGTCAAGATTGCTCAGCTTGTTTCTGCTGGGTCTTCTCTCTTTAGTTTGGAATTGTGGTTAAGTCAGTTTTAAAACACATACCTGGAGAGCAAAAATAAAGCACTGCCAACATGCTACCATATTTTATTGTAAAAATGGCAGTTCTTGATTTTTACCTTAAAGAAACTATTTGTTAAATGACGATTTCAGTATAAATACTTTTCAGGGAGGAACAGTGCATACCTCAGGACATAAAGAAGTGTTCATTGCAGCCCATTTGTAACAACAGCATTAGCTATGTCACAGTGGAAGACTTTTGCAACAGTATAGAAGCGTACAAAAGACCAGAATGGGAGAAACAGAAGCTCTCCTCTCCAGATAAGTGTCGCTAGAAACACAATTACTACAAAAATCATCTCGTATTGCCTTTCCTTCTCCTTGCAAGTTAAGTCAGTAAGATATTTATCAACAACTCTGTATACAGAAACAAATTTAAGGAGTCATGTCCTTACAAGATTATTTTACTTGAAGCATCCTAGGAAGATCAGTAAAAAATTTCAAAGACACAGACAGCACTGAAATACCCAAATCTCACTGGCCACAGCAAGTCTGTACAAACTGACCATGTGCCCAAGCTTGTTTATCATCTGAGAAATCTCACTCTAGATTACAAAAATTAAAATTTCAAGATCTAGTTCACAAGAGATATGAGCCTGTACCTAAATGAATACCATCCAACAAGAATATACACATGGCAGCATTAAGTAACACTTCCATTTTAAACCGTGTTACATCAGGGTTGGATTTCATGGGGGCTTTTTTGGCATTTTATTCACAGAAACAGACACCAGACAAGTAGATAGATTTATCATAGACTGTGCAAAAGTACTTTTTTTTTTTTTTTTTTTTTTTTTTTTTTTTTTTACAAAATCAACAGCACTACCTTGATTTCACACATTGCTTGAGGTTCTGTTCTGTATTTTTTCCATTAATGTTATTTACATTTCAATATAAATACAGCTTTATATATGTAGCTCTTTTAAGGAAAATTCCTTTTTGAAGGAAGTACATCGGTAGAGAAGTACGACATATTTGTAAATATGCACAAATTTGTAAATACATACAAAGTATATATTTAAAAAATACATTTCAAAGTGCTTTGACGAGTCAAGCTTCTTCACATTTCTTCCTTCATAGATTATATATCAGACTATTTTACACGCTAACACAGGTAGAAGACACTGAAAAAATACTGTACTCACCCGTGGAACTTTTCATTTTCAGATCTAATAAAAGAGGGATAGGGAAGAGGGTGGAAAAAAAAAAAGGAATAAATTACTGTAGTTTCATATTCACAACGCAGACTTTATCTGTGTGAAATGACAATTTTATACAGGCAGCACTGAGGCAAATTCAAATGCTTCTTGGGGATATAGTGCTTACAATAGAGGTAGAATTAAAACAAAATTGCAACTTCAGGCAATGCTGCCTTTGGAAGAAACAACTCTGGAGTGGCCACTTGTAGAATTAATCATGCACTGATAGGCCAGTGCTCACGCTGAGCAGCACAGTACTCTGTTTCTATGTACTTTGTTGAATAAATACTATAGGTTTTCAGTTAAGGGCAGTAGAACCCAACTGCCAGCATCACATCAGCGACACAGAGACATTAAGCCTGACAGTGGTTACAGTTTTGCACCAGTGCAACAGGATAAAAGAACAAGCAAGCAAAACCCAGCACAAAGCAACTGAGAATTGTGTTTTCACTTTCCCTACCAAATCACTTTTTCTGTTCACTGGAGCCAACATACTTTAATTACCACAATAGCGAATCATATTTTTCTTCCTGATAATAAAATGGGCCAATTTTTAATAAAAAGACCTTGTATCTCTGTCTTTTTTTTTCTGTGCTGAAAAACTTAAATATATTTCAGAAGCTAAACTTTTTCAGTTTTCTCTGACATCATGAGGGTTTCTTTTTGCAATCACCAGTTAAAGCTGGCTTTAATAGGGAAGTTTTATTTCTTTTCATCTCACAATTTTTTCTCTTATTGGCTAGCAAAAACTCTTAGAACACCCCTCCCTTGGTTTTTCAGTTCTCTGCATAAATTTTAACACAATCTCTAATACCTAAAAAAAAAAAAAATATAGTCCAAACTGGAAGAAAATATTAATTTGGTTTCTTAATGCTACAGGTGAAGTTCACCCCAGACAGATTGTCATTTATATCTCCATGACTTTGGAAGTGACGGATAATTTTCACGCTGTTCCCCTGCACAGAGGACATATGTAGCCTTTTGGGCAGAGTAAGCAAAAAGCACTTCTGAGAACATGACCTTTCTCCATGTAGTCATGTGTCCGATCCAACACATTTTAGCTGAGAAAAATAACAAGTGACTTCGAAGAGGTGCACATGGAATTTCAGACACTTTCAACTGGTGAATTTCCACTTAAAACCAAAAATTTCAGATTAATCGGTTAGCTGGATAAAAGAACCATTCTTAAAGTTAAAAAAAAATATATATATACATACACAGATATAGTTCAAGTAGGAGGCAAAGTGGAAGAGAAGCAAACATTTATAATGCTCTCCACTTGTTTTTTACAACTGCCAATCAGTACCATATACTTAAAGGCATAGTGAAATGCTGGCGTGCTTTGCGAGGAAAACCAGGGAAAGCTAAGTGCTACATCTTGGAAAAGATAAAATTAAATGAATTTTTAGTATGAGACAGAAGAGTTATCAGAAGTGAGGGACAAATTACTATGGAGACTTAATACCAGCACTCATGTTCTCCTGAATCCAGGGAAGCACCGCACTGAGGTCTGTGAATATTCCTGGAGATCCTCTGTTGTAATGTTTCTTCTTCTCATTACTTATCCAGCCCCGAGCACACCCCATCCCCCAGGAGATTACACCAGCAAGAGTCCAGGCACCATGCTTACGCCGGCACAGAAGAGGGCCTCCTGAGTCTCCCTGTAAAAAACAAGCCCAAAACCCACAAGAGTGCGTAACATACCACTGAGCAAGCCTTAAAGAGTTTGTGGAGTTCTCTTTTGTGCCATACTAACAAACCTGCAACACAGGGGAACAGCAATTTAAAAAAAAAAAAAAAAAAAAAACCACACCAAACTGTGAAGACAGACCCTTTCTTTTTTATTGTGTAGTCAGGATTGTCAAGGGATGGAGAAGGAGAATAATTCCCTTATGAGTGCATTTCTGTTGTATTTTAGCATGTAAAAAGAGTGAGGAGGGGTTTTTTTTACCCCTATGACAAGGAAAAATCACTTAACCTTTTTCCTCCCTTTAACCTTAATCCAAGGCAACACTTTTTTACCTCCCTCCTCAGGATCTTAGCAACATTAACTAATGAATTCATCAAGCGTTCTGAAGTCAGAGAGCCCTAAGCATTATGGCACTGGAATACACTGCAAAATTGCTCTCAGGAATTTGTTGTACAACTCATAAAATAATTAAAATCGATGCACGTAATTAAGTGCAGTGCCCCATACAGAACCTATGAAAGAATTCACACATCAAAATACTCCAAGTATCACATTTTACAGTGTGTGTATTCATTCAGGCACACAGAGCATTGAGCTTCTGAGAAACACTTGTAAGTACACGAGCCCTCTGTTCCGCTGACCTGGCAGGCATCTTTTCCTCCATCTGGAAATCCAGCACACATTACGGTGTCACCATGGATGGGTTTCTTTAAAGTTGATAATGCTCTTGAACACTCCTTACTGTTTAAGATTGGTAGATTGACTTCATGTAAGACCTGAGGGAGTAGTCCATCTGAAATACACCCCAAAAAAAATTCTTCCTAAGAAATGCTGCAAGGTGAACTTAATGTTCACTGCTAATACACACACACAGAGTTGTAAACTTGATCCAAGCCATTTTATGGTTACATAAACATCCAGCTTTGTGTATAAGTGTTACAGATTTAAAAATGTTTCAAAACTGAAATACAGGTCTACATATTGTAGCGATGTATTTTGAGATAATTCACAGGCAGGCACAGAAACTAGCAGAGATCCCATTTTGAGATTACGATTCTTACAACCAGTTGATGTTTTATTCTGGTCTGTCTATGACCTGTGCAATCAAGCTCTTAGCTTCAGCAATAAGACACTGAGAACCCTGAATGCCAAAGAACAGTTTGTGTGGCTTACTCTCATTTAAACGGCCCCAACCACAAGCAGTGCAGATGTATCCTGCTTCAAACTTTTCACCTGGATTGGGAAGACATGCTGGCAAAACTGACGAACCTGCCACACATGGACATGAATTTTATTGATAAGTATTTGAAACAACAACAACAAGAAGCTTCCTTTCTCAGCTGTGGTTTTTTAACTAAAAAGTATTGTTATTTTTGTGGCATCTGAAAAAGTAATCTGGCATTTGACAATTTATCTGTGCCACCATTTCATAGTGGTTTTGAATAAAAAAAAAAAGTAAGTCAGGAGCACCACAAGCTTCAGCCCAGGTCTTGCCAATCAGCTTAAATTTAGCTGTTAGTATCATCCAAACTTCCATTAGAAAACGTAGTTGCTCACCTTTGCAGTGGCAAAGAAAGAGCAACCTAGTGACACAAACTGGAGCCTTTGAAAGAGAAAAGTGTACGAAACTCACTATTACCTAAAACTGATGTGAAGTAGCCTTTAGAAAACCTGACTGTAAGGCAAAGTTAGCGTATAGCTGGGCAATGACTGGCCCACGGGCCAGGAAATGCGGCATCAGCATCCCCCCCTCCCCTTCCAGCCCAAGATGGGCCATTCTGCCACTCCCAGAGACAATCCCATTCTCCATTCTGCAGTCTGCAGGGAGGGAAGAGAGGGCAAATAGAGGGGGTGTGAGTAAGGTACAGACAGCACTGCGGTACACTCTGCCCTCTGCTCTGCCTCTGACTAGCTTTACCATTCACCAGAGGCAGAAATCTCCACCTACACAGATAAAAAATAAACACACCTATTTGGTCAAATTTTGATCTCCTGCATCCAAAGAACAATACCTTTTTCTTCAAGGGAGTATTAAATCTGAAGAAGATCATTTAATTCAACTGATATCTTTTTCTGTCTTACCTCTGGTATTTTAAATCCTTCAGTTGCAAAATACTCTGGAAATTTTTAGTGGCATGATCTGACAGCTGTGCAATGGGTTTAAACTGAGTTTCAAGACTTTTCACAGCATCTGGAAGGAGCAAAGGCCTTACCTTCCCCACTGAAAAAGATCACAGATAACCATGGTCTTACTGAAGTTGAAGGCTCCATCCAGCTTCAGAAGGGCAATGTCATAGTTCATCGGCCTTCTGGGGTCAAAGTCTGGATGTTTAATGACATATTTAACAGGGAGTGTCTGCTCGCCAGTCTCCCTGATCCTTAAATCGTGCTCTCCTGCAGTGACACTCAAGTACTGGAGTAGGCTCCTGAAAAATAGAAAAATAAAAATTCAGCTACAGCATCTTCAACATGAAAGAAAAAAAATACAGTTGTTTTTAAACACCGAAGTTATTACTACTGATACCTAATACCTTTCATCTTCAGACTTCAGAGCACATAACATGTACTGTCAGCAAGAGCTGAGTATGCCCTGCAGCAGAAATCAGGAGATGAAAAGGACTGAGAAGAAAAATCATTTGGCCACACTTCTGACTGTGGTTTGGTGGTCCACTAAGGAACCAGGTCTTTAAAAATGTGTTTAAAAATCTTCAGTCACATCCCTTTTTGGAGGAGGGAAGATTTGGACATAATACAGAAAAATTAGGACCACTTCTCTAGCATCCTCAGTTTATACCTTAAAAACATAAGGAATCCTGCTTTAGGGCTCCTAGTACCAGATCAGATGTGCATCAAGGAAACACAAAAACAATCATTATAAACTTTTTATTCTGCTTCAAATTTATTCACTGAACCTGAAGAACTATTTTTGCTTCAGGAGGCTTTATGCCGATTTAGATATTGCCTGTCCTTCTGTAGTTAACACAAACATAAATCCGCAGTTATTGGCTAATTTGACCAAGATGTCATCACGAACAAGGGCAGATACAGATCAAATTTATAATGCCAGGTTATCCATTGGTATGAGATTCAGCATTAACTATAAGGGAATTAGAACCTCAGTGAAGCCACCACAGAATCAGAACTGAAGCCTTCTGTACAATGTCACAGATCCCTTTTTTTTTTGGCACTAAGGCTGAAAATCATCAGTGTACAAGAGGTTAGAACTATATCCATTCACCATTTAATTGCATATGCTCTGCCAGTTGTTAATGCTAAAAAAAAAAAAAAAAAGTTGCAGTCACCTGACAATTATAGTTTGGTACAGATTTTTAACCTACACTTCCAAAATCAGTCTCCACCAATCCCTGTCAGTTTATTTTATTCTTAATTATTTTTGAGATGTTCAAAGGTTTTGTTATTTCTCCCTTTCCATTAAAACACCAAAAATACTGGTTACAAATAAGAGGAGCACCTGTAAGCAGTTGCCACTAAAAGCTGTTAGAGCACACACACACATTTTCACAATCAATGTTTTGCTGCACCCGCAGCGTGCTCCTGAAATCCCACACCCATACCTGTCCAGGATGCAGTGAGCTGCCGTGACCACCCACTGAGCAGAAACAATGGTGCCTCCACAGAAATGCTTTTGCCTTCGTTTCAAGGAAACCTGCATCATATGAAGAAGGCACGTCAAATAAAGGAAATCTTTCTATCTGCTCTGACTGCATTTGAGGAAGAAAGGAGAGAGTACATGCAGGTACTCTCTGAAGATTCACATAGCTGAAGCGCATGCTGCATTTCGAGAAACACTTTCACGGCATTCTTACACTCCTTAAGTCTAAGGGTTCCTAAACCTTGCTGTTCTCCCCTCAGCTGTGACTTGGTACCTGGAGAGAAGCAGCCTACGTGTCATAAAACGCCAAGTCACTGAGGTATGCAGCACGCTGTGCACGTTGCTACGTATTTGAGCATTTTTCCTTTGCAGGTCCATGGGAGCACTGCAAATTCATGATTCCTGACAACAGTTGGGGACTGGGGGTGGCAACCTTCCATGCCTGATCTTTGAACAGTTTTACCCATGCCTCTTTCCAATAGGCTAACCTACAGACGCTCTTCCAGAAATAATGATGAACAAAATAAAAAAAATATAAGCAAAGGTTTATCAGGTAGCGGGACAGGTTCTGTTTCCTCTCTGCCTGCTTCACTGCTTTTCATAAAAGCAGGGTGGAGCTCAACAATACAAGTGTCAGTAAGCACAAAGTATACCTGTTTTATCCTTCTGTCATTTCTACAAAAAGTCAGGACTTTGTTCTGAAGATAAAACCACATTTGCTCGTGCAAACCTGCCATGGATGTGAGCCTTGTTTCACCTGGGTTCCCCCAACAATCCGGGTGAAAAGATTAAGGTAACTCCATGGTTTTGTCTCTTGAGCTTTCTGCCCGCACTTAGGATCTGAGGAGCAAAAGGGGAAAAAGAAGGAAGGATTCAGTCTGGATTTAAGTTATTCTACATTTTTAGTAACAGAATTGGAAGGCATAGCCTGGCACAAAGGTCAGCGCAGTCTCTCTACTATGACAGGAATCCCATCTTGTAATTCCTAATACAGGCTACCCAGACTAAGGCTGAATTGGGCTAACAAAAAGGCAAAGTAATTTATTTTCCAGAATTCTACAAACGAGCACTGCCCAGTTCAATTGTAGTGCACTTCCCACACTCAACAGTGGCCATGTTGGGTTTTTTTTGAAGCTGTATGAAAACCCAGTAGAGCCAAACACATCCCCAAGACATTTTACTACAAATTCTGTTAAACACCACATTGTGAGAAATTTAGCATCCATAAGTTGGAACATTTTATTGTTGTTCTGGCAGATCGGTGGCTGTATTCAAAGGATGGGGGACCAATACTTGTACACACTGTCTGGAAAATGTGGAATCCTCCAAACTATAAAATGCAGTTTACAACAACTACAAAAAGGGTTTTGCAACATCCTCAGGATTAGCATGGTTGATGCAAGGGATTACAGTGTCACAGTAATGCTGACACAATGCTTCTTACCCTAGCTTTTAAATAAAAAGGGCTTTATACAGAAATGATCCGGTTCGTTTATCTGATTTTTTTCAGTCTTTCCCAATTCTCACTGCACCCACCTTTTTCCCATGTGCAGTGATGCAGTGAGGAAAGGGGAAAGAGGAAACAGAGACAAAATTTTAAGAAATAAGATTTAGGTCATACCAAAAGGAATTTGGACTGGGGAAATGGGCAAAACTAAATAAAATAAAAAACTGGATTCACAAACTAAAACTTTCCTTTTTTTCTTTCCGCATTTAATAAGTCTATTTTCCTAATGTATGCAAGATTAGATTAGAAAGTTGCAAGTTAATATTTCTACCAATACTATACCAAACATCTGTATTTTGACAAATGCCAAAATCTTCTGCACCATGGCATTTGTAAGCCCAACAGATTCCTGACTGCTTCAGGACCAACGTTGTTCACTGTCTGGATGAGAGGTTTCTGTGTAAACTGCATCACATCCATCTGCCCGGCAGGACGCTGAAGCAGTGACTACTGTTCTAGAGAACACTCTGCTTTGGACGGCTTAAGCAAGTAAATTACTATGATGATTTAGATACTGCACCTGTGTTGACAGCCAAACCAGAGATTTTATAGTGAAAACAATCGATTTGCAGAACATCAGAAATTGAGCTATACATTTCCCCTTTTTACTACTGCAAATTTAAAATGGAAGCAAAATGGTTATGCAAACAGCCAAGATCTAATTTCCACTCCAGTTTGCTATAAATCAGTAAATCTTCATGAAGGAAACAGGAACAATTACAATCATTACTTGTTCCAGAAAAAGAATACTCTGGATTTTAAGACATAAGACAACACAAAGAGACTCACTGTATTTTGTTAGCAATTCACATGCTAAACCATGACCTTCATGAACTTGCTGCAAACCTGAGAGTATTCCATTTTATTTATTTAATTATAAATAATATTTAATGTTACTTGCTCTGAATCATCAAGGAATCAGACAAAAGTTTCATAAGAATTGCTCGTTAAAAGATAACAGTTACAGACTTAGACTGGAGCAAAAGCAGAGAATGAAAACTAGAGCAATTATCCTAATGCTACCTTGTGTCTAGGTCTAGGAGCTCTTAGGATCAAAAACTTAAGAGGGTGAAACCAGTGCAGCTTCTTTTTTTTTTTTTTTTTTTTTTTTTTTTAGCACTGACTCCCATGCTTGTCACTGCTTAAGAACAAATCCATTAGTACTGAGAAAACTGTTAAAGCTAGATGTGAAATTCTCATCCTACCTTTCTGGAGAGCGGATGGTACAGCATGAAGCTCTGTCATACAGACTATCCCCGTCAGGAATAACTTCAGCTTACTGGGGGCAACGTGCATCTTGGGGTGCTAAATGACTGCGTGAAAACAAGGAGAGTTTTTATAGGGAAAAAGAAACCCAAATACTACACTGCAGGAGAACAGCAACTAATTGAAGTAGAAGTTACTCATTAATCCAGCCATAAAGAACTTACCCGCACAAGTAAGTTTTCCACATTTAATGGAGCATGATTTTTTCCTACACCATTACTGAAGTCTTTGCTGTAAAATACTAGCTAAAATCCTCTCTAAAACTACTTTTTCCAGGCAAAATGACAAAATAATGTTAACATCGCATGTTTTGCTAGCAACACGTGCCCAGGCTGATCTACACATTCAAGTAGAACACACACGAACAGACTGTCAATTGCTATTTGCCTCTACAATTTCGACAGCTTTTGAAGAGGCAATACCTTCCATTTCCTACACGCTTTATATTTAGACTATTTTACAGACCTGAAAAGCATACCAAAGGTTTATGTTGGCAGCATGCTCAGTGTTGTACAAGACAAAGATTGCTCTCCACATCAAAGTGTCATTTTTTCCAAAAGAACAGTTGTTTACATCCCATTTCTGATAGGGAACTAAGGAGGATGGGGCTCCGCTTTTTAAAAATAATTCAGTAGTGCTGCAATGCCAGTTCCCAGTCACTTTGAAGGCTAAGCTCCACTTGTAATAGCTATTTAAGTACAAGACTATTCAAATCCTAAATAAGGAACACATCAGCAGATAGATTAAAAGATCTCACAGAACAGAAAGCATAAGTTCAATTACCCTGACAATTCACTAGTTAAGACTTTCATCTCATCAGTTTTAGCGAGTATTGCCTGACTTGGAAATGACTGAACAAAGTGGTAAATACAACTAAAATACTATCTGAACTATCACAAATTCATATTAAATATATAAGCACCAAATAAGACATTAGAATCATCAAGGGAAGCAACAGCTGTACTCTGGATGACAGAAGACACTCATCTGTAACAGAAAGGGCAAGGGATATTTGTACCTACAAACAAAGAAATATTTACACAAGACAGGGAAAAAAAGACTGTTAAGTGATTGAGATCCTCAGCTTCCCCTCTCTTTGTAAAAATGTTGCAATATTTCCACCTCAAACACTGCCACAAAACCCATTATTTTCACAAAGGAAATTCATTAAGCTTTAAAAACATGGTGCAAACCATACATGCATGCTAATACAGATTTCAGTCTTGAACACCTCCATAGTCATAACTTACCAAAACCGTATTTTTCAAGATGCCAACAGGTAAATGCAAAATATATATACTTTTAAAGTAAGTTGCAACAGTAATTAAACAGTTTACCTTTTTGTGGTTACCACCACAATGGACGAGACTTATATTTTTTAAATTCTGTTCTGGCTCCCGAAGAAAACAATTTAGCCCCAGTCTACTGAATATGTTTGATTATTTGGCCAAGGATTTCACAATACCCCCCAGATGCACCATCAGTCAACACCCCAAAAATCATTTCTGTATTTATTCAATTCTAGGGTTTTGTTGTTCTTTTCCTCTGCTGCCAGCTTTTATTCTGAATATGCAATTTCATAACAAACAACTGAATACAAACCCTGTCCTAGAAACGCTGAGTTGCAGTTGGTTTTTCTGTTATAAATATATAGAACTTCTTAAAACTGCAGTTTTCCTACTGGTCCTGTGGAGATCCTGAATTCTGCAGCTTCTGAAACCTGTATCACCAGTATCATTCCAGGTCTAATTCAAAAATTTCGAAGGCTGCTTTCCTTCATTAATTCACTTGCACTTTGCAGGGACAAAACAAAAATCAGTTCCAAGTACAGCAGAGCTCCCTGATCACCCACCACAGTGACATCCTTTGGAATGTTGCCATCCAACAGGATGATATAAAACCAAGAAAACACAACCTCTGCAGTTATAAGCGATGCTGTGCAAACTACATCTGTCACATTAGCAATGAGAAACAGAAACATCCGGCCCAATTGCAAAGAGAGAAACAATCAGCCCATTTCAAATTTATGACAGAGAGGCAACACTTACTGTGCAGCAGCCAAAGAGGTCAGAATGAAAAAGCATAGAAGGGCACGTTCTGTACAACCTGCTCCTTATCTGGGATGGCAAAACTGAAGTGCAGGCTTTCTTGTCCTACTATTCTTTGTTCTCCTCTTTTGCTAACTATTTATCTTTCTCCTGAAGCTGTTATCTTTATGCTGTATGCAGACAGAGGCACTAATGACTTTACCTACTTCCCCCCCTGGATAGCTGCTACTGCACATAAAACCCGTGGCTTTGGCAGGCAGCACTGCCAGCATCATTCCTCAAAGGCAGGCAAAGGTCAGATCTTACGGACTTGATCTCCATCCATGCATTTGCTCTGAACCTCCATGCAGAGCTGGCTTTGTACCCTGTTGGCGTCCTGTACCTTTGTGGTAAGAAAAACAAAGCCATTAAATCACTAACTGTCCAAAATGGCCTGATCTGTGTTTTAGCAGATAGAGACAGTCCCTAACCCCAAAATGAGTGAGTCTGGCCTGCCCCTTTGTTTGCTGTGCACTCAGAGAATAAAATGTTTGTAAATCAAAGTATGCTTGATGCTGTAGAAATGTATATAGCTGCTCCTTCTGATGAGGCTATTAAAAAATAAACACGCACACAAATCAGTTTAAGACAAAGAGAAAGCAAAGAACATAGATAACACTGATCATCAGAACTTTACAGAATGGTTGCTCAGTTCTTCTGGTTTTGAGGGGGTTTTAACGGGGGTTGAGGGCTGGAGGGAAGGAGCGCAGGCCGCTTTTCAGTGAGGGTTAGTGGACCACTGAGATGGCCAGACTGCACACATGAAAAACCACTTTCTGTTCTTGATACAAAAGTTGCTTCGTGTTGCTCCTCCCATCCAGGCAGGAAGGAAGGTGGAAAACTTACTCACCTAGTGACAATGTGAAGTTTAAGAGAAGAGGGAATGAGGAGTGAAAGACCGAGGGGAAGGAGGGTAAAACAAGCAGCAAACTCTGGTTAGTAGTTAACCTATTAGAAGATGAGTAGAAGAGACACTCTTTAAATTAGACTGTTCTGTGTTGGGTTTGGTCATGGGTTTGTTTTTTTTTTTTTTTTTTTTTTTTTTTTTTTTTTTTTTTTTAAACACAATGAGCTATGCTTTCAAGGGTCACTGATCACATCCGAACAGTTTGCAAGGTCCCTGCTGGAAAACCCATTAGCTCAATAAAATGAACAGTTTCATATTTTAAACAAGATATAATATCTTTAAATACTAAGTTTCTTAAATCTTATCATTCATGTACTACATTTACAAATAAATGTATTTGTTATTGCAGTTATTAACTGAAAGCAGATTTAGTTTTAATAGGGATTAAATGTACTTGTTTGCTAGTTGTGCATGAATTTTCATTTTCCAACAAACTTATTTTTCACCAGCTTTAGCCTACAGTCATTCAAGGTACTTGATTCAAATTACGCTCAAGTTTGATGTAACAAAAAAAAATCAAGTTTCACTCCCAAGATAAGCCTATTATTGTCTACCATTTCCCTGAAATGAAAGAAGACATTAAGATGCATATAAAATACTGAACAGCACCAATTTTAGTATGTTTAAAACACCACCACCACACATACTCGCTTTTTTCAGCCAAAGCCTTCATGTTACTTCAAAGATCGACACATTGAAAAGCTGAGGGAATTACCACCTTGAAACTCTCAATTCCTAGAATCAAAACATTATACACCTCAACTCACAAATATGTTTTTCCCTTTCCCTCTCTAAAATATAGTCTCATCTCAGAGCACAACCTTGCTGTTCTTCCCCGTTATGCCTTCAGCTGGGATTCATATACCTTTTTAGACCAGCAGAGATCATTGATAAATTCACTTGACCTCCTGCAAAAGACAAACCACAGAACTTCACCTCAACATTCCCATATGAATCCTAGTTAAGCTAGTTTTATTGTTTAGGATTATAGCTAGGTTTGGGTAAACACTGTAAAAAAAGATCTGCAAGCTAAAATTTTGTAGCAATAATGCTCACAATACTATGCCTCTTTCTGAAAAATGAAGATAGCCATGATTTTTCTGTCGCCAGGATTTTTTTGAGGAAGCAAAACGAAGCCTGAAAATTAATCAAATAAATATTTATTAAAAGGTCAGAGACAAAAGTTTAAAGCCAGCCGCACTTTGAACCTATTTAATTTCCATCTATTATTAAAAGCAGTGCTGATGATTGGTTGCTACTATACCAAGGACAAACAGTAACTGTTGAAAACACACATGGCAAATGCTTCACAGTGAGCCAAAAACCGGATGTATGTTCCCACAGTGCTTGTAGGTTCAAAACAGCTTTAAACCAACCCAGGTTTAGGCTGATACCAAGAGCACGTGTGCCCCATCTCCCACAAAAGTCCCTTTTGCTCCCGTTCCCCCTAGGCTAGCCGCAGTTATGGTCAGGCTGTGTGGAGAGCTGAATACGCTTTTTTTTCATAACTGGATTTGCTTTTATAGCTGGATTGGTTTTTTGATCAAAGCTGTTACTCAAAAATCGAATGCTAGTGTCAATGTGAAGGAGAAGGAATGAATGCATGCACTAGCATGCATGTTGATTACAGTCTCGACTTACTCTAAAACTCACTCTGGTTGAAGTTTCACGGTTGCTTTAGAAATCTGAAATTGTATTCCCCTAAAAAAGACCCAGAGTTTTCAGTTCTGTCCCAAGCTTTGTTACAACCTCCTATCTAGTTCTGGTTAGTAAACGTGTTTCAGCCAAACATTCTGCAATATTTAAGTACCAACTATCACACTCTGGGGATTACGAAGTCCCTTTTCTTAGGGCGTGAAGACCCCTAAAAGGGCAAAGTATCTTTATAGACCTTTAGCAGCAGAGTTAAGCATGAAGTTAAACAGTACAGTCACCTAGTGACTCCATAGTTCAAACAGGAAAGTTGCTACCACCCCTGCACAACTTACGTCCACTCCACATCCTCGCAAGTATTAGTCAGCCTAATATATCGGATTCCCTTGGATGCAGGCTG